TCCATCATGCTTCTCTGTGAGAATCATAATTGGATATCTCTGAATAGTAGAAGTGTGAATTGCAATCCTCACATCTGATACATGTTAAAAATTAGACTCATTCATTTTGGGGATGTGCTGAAAAAGGATCACTCCCATGCATGTCAAAGGGCCCCGTCTCTGGAACATTGAATTAAAAAATCCTCATCTGCTCGCTCCCACATGGATGAAAGCAACAACTATGTGGGCACCTCATCATCTCTGCTGATGGCAATGACTAGAGCGAGAGTCATTCCTTGCTTCTGGAATTGATTATAATCGAGACGGGGTCTCCCTGCAGAGACGACATGGTTGGGTCTTCTCTCAAAGAAGCTTTAGGTTTATGGATGGGTTAGATGTAAGATACGGATGTCTCCTATGTTATCAGCCATTTGTTGCTGAATATATGTAATACATCTTGTCGTCTCTCGGTGCTCTGGACACGAATGTCTCTCTCTGTGCTTTTCTTAAGTCTTATTCCTCCTTTGAGGCAGGGGCACTTCGAAGTCTCAGAGTTTTGGGCAGTATTTATCAACCTTTTATTCATTATCATCATCGAACCACCCGACTGCCTTCCCCATGAAAATTTAATAGCACCAATATACTGTATGTGAATGTACATAACAAGAGCAAGATATTTCTTCCCTCCCCCACTCCAAGAACCAATCTGCACCAGCTCCGGGAGCTGTAAAGCCCCCGTTTAGAATGCACAACCTGGAGAATAAAGTTTCAAACTTCCTGGGATTTTAGAAGGTCCCACACATTGCTCCAACCTTATCGCTTGCCTCCTTTATAATCCATGCGGCCCAATAGGGCGTTGAGTTTCCATTGCACACCTCACTTGCCCCGTGTTTCTACTTCTGCTCATGCCCTTTCCCAGCATCTCTGCGCCTCTTGAAATCCTAGGCTCCCAGCTGTTTATTTCATGACTCTTCAGCGGAAGTTCATCACCTTCCAGGCTAAGCTCTTCCTTATGTGATTTGGTAAATACAATGGTGAACATTTAAAGTCATTTTTTTCTTGCATGCTTATTGCTCAGACCCAACTAGACTGAAATCCCTAACAGGGGGATATATCTTTTTCTTCCTCCTTTCCCACAGTTTTCTGTTGTATCCTTACAATTTTTAGCCTATATGGTTCCCTAATAAAGGTCAGCTAATCAATAAATACTCACTGAACACCTATGTCCCAGGCCCTGTTCTAGGTGCTAAGGAGGCAACGGTGATTAAATGTGAATATGGAAAATCACATTTTCTAGAAGGTTAGTGTTGGAAAAGTCTTGGGAATTCAAAGTCTTTGGTTTTCAAAGAAAGACAGAGGCACAGCAAGGTCTGCTGACTTGCCCAAGGTGACCCAGCACTTTGCTGGCAGAGTTGGGAGTCTGACTGCGTGCCTACAACTTGTCTACTTCAAACAGGCCATCTACATATTGCTAAGGTGTCTTTGGTCTGACAGTTTATTATTCATTAATATATTGACAATCTGGAAAATGATATTCTTTTTAAAAATAATTTCCATATGTATAGCTCAGACAGAGAGAGGGAAAGTGCATTTTGAGAAATCCAGATTTTCCGTGTATATACATCAAGAAGCAGGGTTCAGCTCTCCCACTCAGTCATCCCCGCCTGAAACAGGAACCAATGACACCGGGATTCCCTGTGCCTGCAGCTGTTCACCTGCAGATCGAGAGAGGATCTGCCAAGGAGAGGGTAGTGCAGAGAGGGTACTAGGCTTGGCAAGCTTTGGATTAGACGCTTTCTAAATTTTCTTCCACGATGACTTGACTAACAGCGAACCAACTCTAAAGAGCTGGTGGAAATGTTGCCCATCTGCTAGTTAGGACCGAAAGCTGATCCTCAGGGCTGCCGGAGGACTGTGCACACCTGTCCCGCTTGGGTGGTGGCCTAGTGACATTTCCTGACGGAGACCTTGGAGGGGGCTCTGGGCTCCAGCTCAAGCCTGGCCTGGAGAGGCTGTCTGTCTCCAGCTGTGGCAAGCAGCTAAGTGCTAACATTCTCCACCGAAGCACAGAGGTTCTAACCATGACTCTCTCTGGCTTGATGGGAACAGCGATGAGCCTCCCTTTGTTCTCCTTGCAGAGGTGGAAGGCCATCCCTCTAGAGCAGTGGTTCTCAACCTTCTGGCCCTTAAAATACAGTTCCTCATGTTGTGACCCAACCATAAAATTATTTTCGTTGCTACTTCATAACTGTAATGTTGCTACTGTTATGAATCGTAATGGAAATATCTGATATGCAGGATGGTCTTAGGCGACCCCTGTGAAAGGGTGGTTTGACCCCCAAAGGGGTGGCGACCCACAGGTTGAGAACCGCTGCACTAGAGAAAGCAGCACTAGGACTGAGCCTTTTACTCTTCCTGCCAAATAACTTGTACCAAACCCTAACGATGATTACATCTCTATTTGCTTTTACGTGGCCATATTTTAAAATAAGAAAATCTGAAGAATTTTAGCGAGCTTGTCAGAGTGCTGTTTTTCTTTAACATTTGGAACACCAGTTCCCGTGAAGGAAGCTTTTGCAGTGCTTTTGCAGTCATTTAACCTATGGTCAGATTCCTATATTTATGACTTTTGAAAAGTGGAAGAACAGAACTGAGTGTAACAAATGTTTGAAAGAAGGGCTGTGGTCTCTCTATGTGTGCATATTGGGGAATCATGTGCCAAACTTCAAGAAGATTGAGGAAACCAAATCTACTTATGTAAGGCAGTTTCTTGTTTTTGAGTAAGTTTGATGAAAAGCATTCCAAAAAATCATTCTTTACTTAGAAAAACATCCACAAAGAAAAATCAATCTCTGCTTCTTTATCATGCCCCTAGCTGGTCAGATAAATGTTTGTTCTTACTTCGTTTCTCTTCACATGGAAGGGAGTACAGAGAGACTCATTCCTTTTAGCACGTAAGCGTGTCCCCAAGATCCTTCCCCTTCGTTTCCTGCTGGCCATTCTGCAAATCTGTCCCATGGTATCCACACTTTGTATACAAATCCCCTAATACGATGTGTGGTTTCCATGAATTTTAATTTAGCCTATGTTTTAGTTGGCACTTTCAAATATCTCTATATACTCTGAAGGGCAGATCCTATTTAGCATGAATTGGATAAACCACAATCATGGTAAAAGCTACATAAAAAATACATCAACAAAAAAGATTCTCAGGTTATTATTTATGACTATTAATCCTTCACTAATTTTCAGACCTTTAAATTACAGATCCATGAGTTCAAATTTTATTTTGTTAATCACTTAAAAATACCCAATAAAATATTCCCGCAGTAAGACCTCCAACTGTGAAAATCAGTTTGATTCTGTCTTTACTTCTGACAATATTAAGAACAGTCAGCACTTCAAAAAAGAATTAGCAGTAATTTGCTTGGTGTCTGAAGAACTGAACAGATTATAAAATGGCTTTAGTGACCTTGTCACAGAACTTCTTGACAATTCTTGGACACCGAGTAGGGGCATTTTTAAAAGTCAGTTTTGCAGATGAGAGAACAGTTTCATTGCCTTTGTTAGCCTTCTGGCTAGTGAGTGGAGGGCAAGGCCCTCACTCTAGGGCCCTTTAAGAAGCAGTGTGGGATGCCAATCATTTATTCCTATGTGTGTCCATAGTAGTAGCCTCCACATCTAAACCCAAGCAAGTAAATGCTATTTCAATACCATAGCTATTTTCAAAATGTGAATATTACTACATTTTAGCCTTTTCCCTTCACAACAGTTCTTTAAGCACAACTGTGGGGATTACAGTGAGCATTAAAAAAATAGAGTCCCTTGTTAATCAAGGGACCCAGTTTTATTCTCATGAGTTAAAAGTCACAGGGAAAATAGTAAGAGACTGTTGTGGAATTGAGAATAACAAGCTCAACTCCAGATTTCTTGGTATGTGTTTGCAAATAAAGAGCTACTGCCTATTAACCTGCTCGCAGTAGGGTAAGTTAAGACACTTCCTCCCCGGCTCTGATGTGGAAGGAGGGCTGAGAAAGCTATTTTGCATTAATTTCTTTATTAATGATCTCTATCTAGGAGCCCTCTACGTCCCCAGAAAGCAGAGTCTGGACCTGCCCTCCGGCATCTGGAGTCCGGCCCTCCTCCTTGCCTGGGAGTGGAGATGGCAGTGAATCCGCTAGACATTTCAAGCAGATTCCCCAGGCAGTTGTGGATATGCTAAATTCACAGTGCACAGGAGTTCCTGGAATTTGTCCTTTAGATTGATATCCCATTAAAAAAATGAGTACTATGGTCAAATAACCCTGGGTTAAGCAGAGTTAAACAAGGCTCTGTATTACTATGTTAGAGTTTTGAAATACACTGACTGGTTGCTTCGTGGCTCCCCAGGAGACAAGGGTGTGGAGTACATAGAGGTTTCTAACCGTATTTGGCCACAGAGTCCTTTTCTTGAGGTACGTCTCAAAGGCTCAGGCCAGAGAATGGCTAACTATGGCCCACAGGCCAGTCTCCTGCTTTTGCAAATAAACTTTCACGGGAACACATCTTTATTCCTTTACTTATGGCCTATAGCTGCTTTGGCGCTACAGCAGCAAAGTGGAGTTGTGACAAAGATCATGTACTTTGAAAAGCCAAAAGATTTATTACATGGCCTTTTATGGAAAAAGTTTGCTGAGCCCTTGTCTAGACCCTGTGGAACACACTTTGGGAAACGTTAACTTCTAGGGAAACACCATTGGAGTAAGATACTCAGTAAAAATACCACAACCGGGGTTCTATCCCTTATTCCTTATTTACCCTGTGAAATAAAACAAAGATTTCATTTCATAAAACATTTATCGACCTTTTTCCCACTCCCCCTTTGGCCAAAGAGACCATGTGCATCCGAGTTGGAAACATGGCCAGTGTTTGCTCTCCGTCACGCTAACACTGAAAACCATAAGACACCGTTAATCCACTTCCGTATGACTCTCCAGCTATTTGCACCCAAACTCCAATGGTATCAAAAGAGGTTTCCTTACTTGACTGGTTCCCATGACTCCCGCTCAAAGCCCCTGTGAATGGATTGTGCAATTGAGGACTCCATCAGATCCACATATCTAACCACAAGTGGGGCAAACAGGTCTTGCAGGTGCTTGTGGAACTTTCCATTGCACAGATTATCTAGAACAGAGAAGCAAAGTCTTGGTAAGGGCCCACAGTTGCTTTGTCAGCACACAGCATACACACAGAGAGGATTGTCTTTGACATTAAATCCATGGCTTCTAAGAGAGCCCCTACCCCCCAAAAAAGAGAAAGAAAAAAGTACAGGAACAGAGCCAAATTTCATGCTTCAATCTGTGTGGGAAGAAAATGGAATTCTAAAACATTTTACCCATTTGCGTCCCTCCTCTCAAAAAGAAAAACAATCATTTTCCCTTAAAAGCAACAAAACAGCAACCAACCCTTTCTTAGGAGCTCCTGGCACCCACTCCCTTCCTCCCACGGTGTTACCGGGAGGAGAGACTATGCTACCCTCCCTTCATCACGGTCCCTGAGCAGGAAGGTCCACTTTATGACTCTGTGTTGTGTAAAACACTCCAAGATGCTTAGGGTGTTACTTAGCTAGACTTTTTTTTTTCATCTAAAAAGCAACTTTGGATAAAAATTGAAAAAATGTGAAGAGGTTAATTAGCTTGTTCCAGAACAAAAGAACCCCACAGACACCACTCCTGCCACTGCTCTGGGGTTCTCCGGCTTAGTTAAGAGAGGGCTTCCCTGTCACAGGACATTTGTTGGGAGAAAGGCCATCACCTGTAAATTTGTTTGTTTTTGATGAATAATAAACCTACAAAGAGCTATGTCCAACCTGTAGTCTGTCTGGGAAAAACGCATTTGAACAAGGTGCTCATCTGCACACGACTTAGGGCAAACAGTCGAAGATGATACGTACAGTCGGTGCGCAGAAAGTCATTCAGCAGCTGGAACAGTGGGAAACTGTCCCACGTGTCTGGCGGCTGCACCTCTAACGCTGCATCCATGTCCACCGCGAAGAGCGACAGGAACGTCTCGGCGTGCTCCACCATCAAGTCCGACCACCACGCAAAGGCCTTTGGAATTTGGCAGAAAAACAACAGACAGGAAGGCAATGAGCTTCTCACTTCCCGACGTGAGATGGGAAGTGAAGCCCTCGCTGGCCAAGGTTAAGTGTGCATCAGCAGGGTTTGGTAGTTTTATTGTAAAGAGAACAGCATTTTTGATTCAACGGGGCCTCTTAAGTGTGCCAAGGCCATGCTTTTCAGGATTCCAGTCCTGCCTTAGGAAGTCTTTCATCTGACCTACTGGTCAGAGGCCTCAGCTGTAGCTGTGACAGACGTGGAATTTCTGTTCAGTTTACAATAACTCGGTATGTTTTGGGTCATGCTCTTCATCACTGTTGTTGGCTGGTTCTTGCTCGAAGGTATTAGAATTTGGGAGTTTCTTCACTGTGTTTATGGGTTTTCTGCTGGTCTAACTTGAAAATTTGCAATGAGTGTTCGCTTATGTCTACACGTGTGGGGCTTAATTGTCTACAGTCTGATACAAGGTCGATGACTCGTGTTTCTCCACGCGTTGGCCATGTTACTCCTCTTTCATACCAAGGCAAAGGAAACCATTGTTGCAATTGTCACAAAACGTTTGAGTCAAAATCTCTGTAAGTGGGGAGCCTCTGGTTTTGTATCCTGCCTGGAGGGAAGATCAGGCTTACTCTGGGAACCAGTAAGATGAGGACTTACTTTTCTACTTTTCAGGGGGTGGGGTGGGGTGGGGTTGGACACATATGTACATTGAAAACCAAAAAATATCAGTGAAGTAACTCATTTTCATGCACGTGGGTCCTTGGAAATCATTATGCAGGGTCTCGGGGCGACATTCACATCAGACTGGGCCAGATGTGAATGCAATTCAGAGGCATGCATGCATGTTGACTAATCAGTTCTGGCAGGGAGCATGCAAAATGAGTGGCGGTCACAGGCCCTTTTTTGCTGATTTCAAAGACAGCAATAAAACAAAAACATCGCCAGCCTCGTCTTGTCCCCCGCCTCCCCACCCAGTGCCGTAAAGTATTTACATGGGAAACACTTTCAGGAGCATTCACCGAAAAAAAGATGGAAGGCGTTTGACAACATGAATGATGATTATGGAAATAATTCCATAAATGAAAGTGTTTGTTCAATAGCCAAGCTTTTCTGTAATCTATCGTTATTTGGGGATATTCTAACAGCCACTAGGAGGCAGAATAGCGGTCCACCTCTCCTCTTTCATGGGATTTCATTTTACTTACTTCTCCTTTATCAACATGTGGCTGGTTTGCAAATTAAATGGAAAAAATCAAGTCATGGACCATTCTTCAAGGTCAGCTTGGCTGGAAATAGACACCTGCTGTTTCCATTTTAATTTACAGTAAAACCTCACTGATTCAGAGTAATGGCAGGGGAGAAGGGCTAGTCGGTCAGCATAAAAGCCTAAATTACTGGGCTTCCTGAAAGTAGGTAGTTGCTGCTTTCAAAGGTAGGCTGAGCATTAACGTAGAAGGTACTCACTGGGTATTATATGAATGCATCATAAATGTAAAAGTGTTTCTTTTTCAAAACTTCTAATAATCATAGATAAATTGACATATAAATTGAAGTCAAAGACACAAAGGTTTAATTTGGCAGGTCCCGGGGTGACACTTGTAAGGAGAGCCTTCAGAATTTCCAGAGAAAGCTGAGATCATGTTACACACTTTACTTAAGAAAAATTAAAAGAGACACATCTGCAATGGCATTGCCACAAATGTCAAGTGTTTGCGTCTGAATCAAGGAGGTTTTATTGTAGGTTTACCACCTGAGGTGTGGGGCTTGCTCACTGACTGCCTGGAGGAATCCAGCGGAGGCAGGGAGCCTCCAGGCCGCCCTGAGCTCTCCCAGCAGCAGCCTTTTAGGCAGAGACTCTCTGCTTGTCGGACTTTGCTGGAGCCCCGCCCCCACCCTAACTGGAGGGCTGACTGTCATCCGTCCTGATGCGGGATATTCACAGAATTCACAAAGGCACATGGAAATCTTGGCTGGTACTTGTTCTACTTATTCTTTAGTTATTTGATAAAAACAGTTACTGGAGAGACTGAGTTGCTTTCTCTCCACCCCCCGCCCCCCACCCCAGGATGACAGGACAAAACACCAGCCCTAAATGCCTGAAATTAAAAATTGTTTAGCCTAGCCTTGAACCTGTTTCTTACCACCTTTATTTAAAAGTTGCAAACCACAGACCATGACCAGCACCTCCTTTACTATCTGTAGAGAACTCAGTCCCTCCTTGGAATTTAATAAGTGATCGAGCGATTGTCTGCAGTTGTGGTGTGAATAATCATATAGGTAGGTAGCCCTGCAAAGAACAATGGCTGCTGTGATAGGAATGCTTGCTCCTGAATTCCGGCAGAGGGACTTAGGGTTCTAGGGAACAGAGAGAACTGAAATGCACGGCTGTGAGGGAAGGAAGGCCGGAGCTGTTTCTGGGCGCCCAAGGTGATTCTTTCAGAACCTCATCCTTGAACCCGCCTCTGAGAAGGAGGAAAGATTCTGGCAAGGGCAGGAATGACCAAAAATGAGCAGAGTCTGTGTGACTGGATTGGGCAAGGCAAGTCTTCAAAATTAAAAACCAAAACAATACTAATTGGTTTTGTTTGCTCAGACAGGTGGACACAATTTTGGTACATGAGCTAACTCAACTTCTGTGGGCATTGAAAGTCTTTAGAAATCTTTTCCAAAGAAAAGAAGAAGTTATACTTCGGCTTCTAAATACTTACCCAGTGCTTTTCATTATTTAAAGGCAAAGATGTATGCTTTAGGGGTACAGTCAACCACACTGAACACACTGTATTTTTGTACACAAATTCTAAATATATATGTACCCCTCTATGTACTACCACAATACATATATACATATACATACATATACATAGAGAGAGAGAGGTTGGGAAGTTAAAGCAACAATACATGAAAGTGTAGTGTAGTGTGTGTGTGTGAATAACTTAGGCTCTGAGAGCAGAATTATGCTGCAGGTAAGAGATGAACGTGACACAGCTACCATACACTATGTGTGTGTATGTGATGTGTTTGTAGCCATGGAAAATTTTATCTCTTGGGGCATTTAATTACTTTATATTGGAATTCAAAATGGCTTTAAGGATTATTGATTTTTGGTGCAAGAGCAAGTCTGCTTGTCATTTTCATTTGTGGTGCCACCAACATCGTGGCTACACAGCCAAGATGGTGCTTAGGATTCAGTAATTTGTTAGTTTCTTGAGCACCCAGAGGATGTGGCAGTGAGTACGGGCAGCAGAAAAAATGTTCAGACTTCAGCCTTGTCTCTAGCGTGCCTGGGCAAATCCTACTATGGCTGCACCCCTGGCTCTTGACCGGGCTATCTACTGTAATCAGCCAGGCAATGTAACAATTACCATACTTAGTCCCTCCCATGAGATTCCACCTAATGGACCTGGGGTAAGACCTGGGCGTCAGCAATTGTTAAGAGCTTCCCAGACGATCGCAATCTGTCAGTGAGCCTTGAGGACAGGTGCTGGTGCCCGTCTGGACAACTCCACCTTGAAACCAACCCACTCACCTTTCAACATAGTCTGTCTATAGCATTCGTTTGGTGCTCTCCACCTCGGTTTGTACTTTTTATGGTCCTTTTTATATGTTCTGCTTCCATACCAATTTGTTCCTCATCACACAACAGTAGAGTTTTGTTGAGTGCTTACTATGTACCAGGCTTAATACCAGATGCTCTGCTTAATACAGCTTCCATCCTCACAGCAGCCACGTGAGCTCGATTCTATAGTTATCTCCCACTTACAGGGCAAGAGAGGTTAAGTAACTAGGCCATGATCACAGAGCAAGGAAGAAGCACAGCTGGGATTCAAACTCCAGCGTCTCTGGCATGGAGCCCGCGCTCCCGGCCACGACGGCCTCTGCCTCCTTGTCCTTCAAAGAAGCACGGAGGCCATCGCCTCAGTCTCAGCACACAGGTAGCTTTGGACTGAGTGAGTGCTGAAGCTTTGTGATTGGGCGAAATGACTAATTCAGGAAATAATCCTGTACTTTTATCTAAAAACCAACCGGGTCTCCAAATTCCAAAGCATGCTGAAGTCTTCATTCCTAACTTCTAGAGCTAGTAACTGAGTTGATGTTTACCCTGGCTGGCTTTCGAACATGTAAGATTAAACTATTTTTGTGATCATGGTTACCAGGGCAGTTTCAGATGATGATTAGCCCTTCGTGAAAAAGTGTTTGGGGAAAAGTGAAAAAAAAAAAAAACAACCTGTCTTTTTTGGACTATCAACGTTCCTTTGGTGCCTCTTTTGAGTAATTTGGGAAAATACCCATCCTTTCTTAGCCTGTAGCAGCCTCAAAAAGAACTTGATGATAAAGCAAGGACATCTGCCATGTTCCTTCTTTCATTTAATTAAAAGTACAACAGTGACTGAGGAAGGCCTTCTTCTTTGTGTGCATGTCTTCAAAAATGTGTGATTTGGTTTGTTAGCAGGGGAGGGCAGTCCCGAGCCTGCCACCCCTCTGGAGGTGCCCTTGCAGACACCCAGAAAGAACATACTTACCATCACCTGAACCCCAAATGCCCCCAACCTGGAAAGAACTGTTATCAGATGGGATAGAGTAGGAAACAGTTCTAGCCCAACTTAATTGTATGTGTCTGGATGTTAGTCCTAGGCCTCTGTTTGGAGGGTGCTGGCTTGGCCCCTCTCCCCGCTCCCAGCTGTGCATTGCTGGGGCAACAGGAGTTAGATACACCCATCTGGAGGGGTCCTCACCCCATTCCTGGGAGGGTTCCGGACAAGTAACGATCCTGTGGCACTCTCTCTATATATAAATACTGTATATACGGTTCACATACAGACAGTCGTAGAGGGAGATTAGTATCACTCTGGGCAGCTACTGGTTACCACGCTCGGTACTCATCTGCGGTAGGTACAGACGGACAGAGGGACTAGGACAGGCTGAGGACAGAGTCACGGCAGGAAGGAGGCACGTGTCGGGATGTAACTGCAGTCGTGGTCAGGTGTATCCACTGCTTCATGCACGCATGAGAGGATCCCCCCACATTCCTCTGGCGTGGAGGGCCCCCCATTTCACAAGCAGCCCCCTGCAAGTTGCTGTTACATTCCTTTGGTCAGTGTTAGGAAGCGGGAGCCCCGGGAAAGTCCCATCGGAAGACAGGGCACCGGAAGGGCATGCACAGACTACGACAGAAGGTGGCTGGCTCATTCGGTGCAGGCACATACCTCTTTCCCCTGCCACGATCAGCCACGATTGAGTGGAACAGTAGAAAAACAGGGAGGAAATTTAAATATGCAAATCAGGCATTATTCGGGATGACTGGGTTTATGGGAATTAGATATTAGTTAGCTGTACTGTCAATTTCATTTAGTCGCAGGAATGACCGTTTTAGGTGCTTGAGAAATTACTGTTATGGATTGCCTTTTCTTCCCCTTCTGCTGTAGAGTTGAATGGAGAGGAAGAGTGAGATTAGTGCAGTTTTCAGAAAGAGCTATGATCTTAAGCCTCCATGTTGAAGGAGGCAATGCTTTCACAGTGGGACCACAATGGAACCTTGAACTCTTTCTTGGAGGATCGGATTATTTAAGTCCTTACAGGTTTGGGACTTAGTTAGCCTTGAAATCCCTTGGTTTATAACTATTATCACCGGAACCATAGTTTTGACAGTGGTCTGTAAGAAAAAGTAAGCTGTATCTATTTAGATGTATGTTGGAGAATCGACAAGTGGAACAACACAGAATAATTCGCTTCTGGCCCTGCGTGTAGCCACCCAGGTCACCTGAGGTTAACAAATGAAGATAAATCCAAAAACGTGGCCTGCGATCCACACACCAAATAAAAGAAATAAAAGCAACAGTGGCAGCAACAAAAACAACCACAAAAGACCAAAAAGTATTTTGCGTGCTCCGAACAATAACCATATGCTGCTTGTATATTATTTTAAAAACACACTCACCTCTTTGGCTTGTTGCTAGAAACATCTGAAAACCTAAGCTGAAACGTACAACACGTGATCCCTTTTGGTCGTATTCAACAGCCTTTCCCAGGCTTCTCCTCACCCACCTTCCACTTGCACTCCCTTGGCAAGGCCAGTTGAAAGCAAAGGGGGTTAAAGCACCTCATTCCCATGTCACCTGTACCCTCAGTTCCGCAGCCGCAGCTGAGGAACCCGGGCCGTTTCCTAGGGCGCCGCTCACCTCTGCGTGATGCTCCTCATTCTGCTGGAGAACCTCAATGACTAGTTCAGCGAGACGGATTGTGTCTTCGAGCTTTTTGGCGGGAGTGATTAACCGGCCTACATTTTCTGGAGTACAAGAATCGGCGTTAAAATTCGGTGAAAGCAGCGGGCTGGTTTGGTGGCCGTTAGCACGAGTGGATAAGAAATTTTGAATAGTCACCAATGTTTTAAAAAAAGTGTCATGCAAATGTTAAGAGCCACAAGATTAGTAGTGAGCAAACCAGAAAGCCATATTATTGTTATCATCACCATCATCATCATCATCATGATCGATATTAAGGGAAAGCAGTGCTCCAGCTTCCAATTGGCATGTTAAGCTACAATTTCTTTGACAGCCCATTTCAAATTGAGTGACGTTTTGTACACACGTTCTTTAAAGACAGCATAAGGATTCTATCTAATAGCACTGTCTGTGCTGTGCTACTCGGAGGGGACGATGCTACAGGACCTTGATCTTGACTGCTGCTACATTTGTTGCCTGGATTTGTCCTTAATCATGTGACACTACAGAATCTTTTTCATTATAAGTCTGCAAGATTAACAGGCATTGGAATGTTCGTTTTAAAAAAGCAGAGTCACAGATCTTGCTGTTTTAAGTTGTCCAGGGAGGAGACTGAAACTTACTGAACATCCCTGGGCCATTAGGTAGAAGGATCAAATTGTTGGAAGGGTGTTGGGGGTAGATTATTGGCTGAAGTAGTGGTCGTCTGTGGTACTGGTGGGCACAACTGAAATCTTATAGGTTAGGTGGCAACAAAGTACTCAAAGTTTTTTCTCTATTTTCAGTTTTTATTGTGTTGAAAGGGTTCTTTTTAGCTGACTCAAGCACAAACCGAACTCTGATTTATGTTGCACCCTTTATAGAGCTGAATTCATGAAAGTTTAGCAATGTCATCACGTTACGCAAACTTACAAACTTTTTTTCCTGGCGGAAAAAAGTAATATTTAACATATAAAGGGTTTTCTTAGCCAATGGAATTGCCTGGATTCAAACAGTCTGAACTCACAGGGATCTTGTATTTCATGCTTAGACCCCTTCACACCTTGAAGCCTCAGTCAGTTGTAGCCCTGGGGTATAATGGCAATAGGGATCACTTAGCCCAATTCCACAGGCAGGCACGTATGTGCAAGAAGGGACTGCTGACACTATTTCATCTCTTCATCGAAGCAGATGTGTTCTGGCTTCCGGATTTTCCTTGCTAGAGAAGATTACTTAATGCTTCACTGGAAGGTTTGTTATTTTGTTTTGTTTTGTTTTGTTTATGGGAGGGGTGGTATTTAAACAAAATCATAGGCCCTGGCTTGGGTTGCTAAGTGGTTAGAGCCCTGGCCCACAAACCGAGGGTCTCGGGTTCCATTCCCCGTCAAGGGCACATAAAATCCCTGTCCTGGTAGGGCGTGTGTAGGAGGCAACCAATCCGTGTTTCCCTCTCACATCTATGTTTCTCTCTCCTCCTCCTCCACTCTCCCCCCTCCCCGCCCTTCCACTCTCTTAAAAAAAATATCAATGGGAAAAATATCCTCGGGTGAGGATTAACAACAACAACAAAATATCATAGGAAGTTGGTCTCAACTTTACAAAAAAAGTGCCCCATAATTTTCTCTTTGTGCATTTGTTAGATAGGTGATGACTATACCAAATGATCAGTAATTTAGGCTTAAAAAAGGAAAAACAAGTTCAGTGAAACACTATGCAAAATGAATCTCCAAGTCCCTCTGGGAGCTAAGAGTGATGGCTGGGACTGGTAAGATTATTGAGGGAATTCAGCCAAAGGAGCCTGGTGACTAGTGTGAAAATGGGCTTTCTGGATTCGGGCCAGCGGAAAGCTCCATTGTCTCTGCCGTGCTCAGGTGGCAGCGTGGCTGGATACGGTTAGGGCCTGAAGGTGGGAACTGAAGGGAACATAAATATGCAGATCAGGCAGCCACTACCCGACACTCAGAGCAGGCAGGTGTGTGGAGCTGAGCTGACAGCACAACTCTTGGGCCAGAGCAACCAATATTTGGAGAAATAGTGAGGGGTTTGTGTGCTTTGGGGGCACCTGGCCTGTCTATAATTTCATAAATGGACTATGATAATTTCATTAGTAGACTTTCAGGCATGTCTACAAACATACTGTGTATATATGTTTGGGTAATATGTGTAGAGTGAGGTGCTTGCATTTTGATAGTAAATATGCATAAGGCTACTAGTTTTTATTTAGTTGATACTCACATTTACACATCAATTTGCAAATTCCTCAGTCTATGCTTATTACCCATTCGACACATACACCCACATACACACATCACACACTTACATACATTTTCTAGTAACCAGACAAGCCTGCACATTAATACAAGTCTGCAGGAAGTCCCACTTGGGCACTTTGAAATCTCTTGCTTTAAAAATAGGGAGCATTGTCCTTTTGGGTGGAATACTTACTAAACGTAGGGAATTTTGGCTGCACATGATATATCATGTAGAAATGAAATAATTCCCACCAATAGTTTTATGCACCTCCATTTAAAAACTGTGAATGATATTTACGTTTGGAGAAATCCAAGATGCTTAAGCTAGGACCACCTGAAGGTTTGTTTTAATATGCAGTACTTTTAGATCGACTACAATATATATCGATAGATACACATAAAGTGTATATGTGCACGCAGCCATTCTCTGGGTGCGTGCACATGTACACAGACATGTGTATGCCTGATGTATATATACAGACAGTATGTTTAATAAAACCTTTTGCAATTTTACTTTAACAGGCACGCAGGTTAAGGATCCTTTAATCTAGAATGCTTGATCTTCCAATTAACCCATGTAGCCAGACTTTCATTTACCATTAATTAGCTGCAGTTCCACTGTATGGAGATCAAGCCACTTTATTGAGCCATAACACTCTTTTCCTTTTCCTTTGCATAGCTAACTTAGTATCTAAATGGCAAAAAGGTACTAAAAGAGACTTCTCTAAGATGTTGTCTTTAAAGAAAAGATTGTGCAAAATCCTCTAGCACATCCTCCCTCTCCCGACAGAGGTGAAGGAGAAATTTAAGCTTAGAAATTATTATTTTTTGGTCTCTTTTGCTGTCTTGAAATGTATCACAATATTCCTCTCACCCAATCTTGTACTAGCTGGAGCACTGAAGGGGAACTAAAAATACAATATACTTAGTAAACATTTCATACAACAGAATTGAAGCTCATAACATAGAAAGAAATCGTCATGCAAAATGTTATGCAACAACAATGTTATTTTGTGCTGACATTGAGATTTGAAAATGTTGCATATGTCAGACATAGCTAGACAAAAAAAATGTGGACATTTGGAAATAAATGCTCTCTTTCCCAAAACCTGGTGTCGAACTTGAGAGCCCGAGCCTCCGCTTAGTATTCCAAACCAAAACAACATTTCAAGAAGGAAAATGAACGGAAAAGCAAACCAAACTAGGAAGCTGCCGAGTAAAGGAATGGGAGAAGTTTATGGTACTTGATTTTGGCCTAGTCCTGCCGTTGAGCCTCTGACATAAAATGCTGGTCTGAATTTGGGTGGGCGGAGGAGGCCCAGGCGTTGGCCGGGGAGCGGCTCAGGTGGGTGAAGACAGAAGGTAAAAAAGTAAAGAGACAAAGTTGACTTTCACAAAGAGTGACCAGTAGGATGACGAACTCTGAAAAGAACTACCAAACAAGCAAGAATGATAAAACACAAATGGGGAGCCGCTGCTTTCTCAGCGTTACTGCCCCGTTACTGGACTGGACTCTGACCAGTGCCACCAGCACCACCCTACGGAGACGCTGATTGGCTGAATACTCAGACTGGACGTCTTTATCCAGAGGGATGCACGTGAAGGATGGTGGCAGCATCACTGACCGAAACAAGACACACTTTTGCACAGTCACGGACGCCTGGATGGTAAAGACTGCCTCCTCCTCCCAGTGAGCAGTCATAGCTGGGAGACTGGCGTCTCCCCCTTCCTATGCTGCTCCCCCTCCTACGGAACCTTGCCCCTTCTACTTAAACCTCTCTGTGCTTCGGTTTCCTCATCTAGAATTTGGGAATTCGAATACCTTTTTGGTGTACCTTGCAGGGTCGCTGGTAAGAGCAAATAAAACAATGCATGGGCTAGATCTCTGCAAAGCCTCAGGTGCCTACCAATGTTCATTGTTCTCGCCAATATTGTGCCAAGGCAGGAATTAATTGCCTCGCAAGAGCAGATGAAGGGCCGCTATTAGTTCAAGTGCGCTAGGGAATATTCTTGCTCCCTTTGTGGAATTTCAACATGTCAAAATCTGTCATTTGGGGGGAAAAATGTGTGGTATCTGATTGTTTCCAGCTCATTTAATTATTTTCAATTTGGAATTTTCATGGCTTTTATATTGTGGGTTGAATCATATATAAAAGCTTGCCAGCTTATCAAATATGTTACTTGCTATTCCAAATGTTAGAATGCCGTAATCAGCACTTGACCCATCTGTCTGGTGGTTGACAGTATCAGCACAGCAAACATCCTGGGACAATGGCCGCTCCTTCCACAGGCCCAGGGCACCCTCCGCTCCCCACTCCCTCCCTCTGACAAGCGCCTCATTAACCTCAGACCTGCCGCTTCCCAATAGTTCCCGTTTATAGAGCAGCCTGCGCGGTGAGAGGGGACACACTCCATTGCCAAGTTTGCTTGAATTTTCTACTGGGAAAATGATTTTTACTGCGGGCTTATAGCAAAATGTAATTCTAGCGACATTAGTGAAAATATCCGCAATACGAATAAATATAATATTCTGGCAAAACTATCAATTAAAAGCAAAAGTTGAAATTTTTTTCTTGCGGGGTCACCTCAAAGTTTTGAATGCATGGCTAAAAAAATTCTTTAGCAGTCTCCTCTTGTTTAAATCTTTTGTTTGAAAGATTGTGTGTAAATGGAATATAGAAAAATCAGTTTTAAATAACAGCTACTCAAAAGAGGACAACGACTGAGCCTTTCTTTATTAAAAAAAAAAAGTACTCCTGTTTAATTTTTCTTAAAATCTGGTCTTCTACCTACAGCTGAGTTGAAAGTTAGGGACGTCTCTGATGACACAACCT